ACCTATAAGAATCTTTTGCAAGCATAACTATCCATAAAAATCTACATTGCAAGCATAAATATCCATCATTCTACATTGCAAGCTACAATATCTATAACAATCTACATTGGCAAGCTTAAATTATTGATCTATAACAATTATTTTCAGACAGAATATGTAGCAGCTCATCATAAGCGACGGGAATTTATAACAGGTTTTACAGGTTCTCGAGGTATGTTTATTTTATGGCGTCTTTGATGTGTGTGGTCGGAAGGTTGATTAGATAATCAAGTTTCTCATGGATTTTTAGAAATTGGAGTTCTCCACCACATTCAGGAAGATATAGTCCGTGGAATACAGTGATATTTTATCACACATCATGATAGAATTCTATATGTACTTCAAATTATCGCAATTTTTTTGAAACAAAGTACTAAACATTGTCAACTGGCATTACATAAAATAAAATTGTACTTAAAGACTAGATTGATTCATTGTTTTATTGCTACAAGCTAGTTTAGTATGTTCGTCAGAGGTGACCACACTCGTCAGGCAAGTTACAATGAATGAATGACCGTGTTAAAGTTTGCTGATAGTTTAAAATTCTATATATATTATGTGTACGTCACAGCGGACACCTTGGATCATGTCCTCGAACGTTCCAATTTCAAATAAATTGTTACAAAAAATAATCGCAAAACACATTTATGAATGCTTTGAAATAAGAAAAAAGGTTACTGGAACATTTCGTTAATAATATATCAAATCATAAAATATGTTATTGCATATAAACTCTAAATGTAAATATCATTTACACAGAGGCAATAATAAAACATGATCTTGTATCTTGTATCTATCATAGGTACCGCCATAGTGACCCAACATAAAGCAGCCATGTGGACAGATGGTAGATATTTCGTGCAGGCAAATATGGAACTGGATTGTAACTGGACTCTTATGAAGGAAGGTAATACCATTATTTTGTCCCGTGAAATTGTGAGAGGGGTGTGGCGAGGGGAAAGGTGGACTTATGAAGAGCATTGATCATTCGATTTTTGAGAGAAAATGAAGTCTTAAAAGGAAATGAGGAAAGGAGTGAAACCAAGTGATAAGATGACTGAGAAATTGGTAACCTTTATTAAGTATGACTGAATGTTTTCTTGTTTTTAAATGCACGAAAAATATTTGACTATCCCATATAAGTAAATAAAGCTACTTTTTGCTATGTTTTGTTTTAGGTATTATTACAACACCAGGATATGGACAATGGCTAAAAATGGTATGAAAATAGCAATACATGTCATATTACACGAAAAAAAACTTTTAAGTCATGTTTCAACTTATATTTATAAGTACTACTCTCAGTTTTGTTTTTAGATATAGAGGATATTACATGGCCGCGCGGAGATACGGATTTTATCTTCGAGTGTTGATGAGATCTCTCACGAGTGAGCGTAGCGAACGAGTGAGAGATTTTCAACACGAGAAGATAAAATGTGTATCTCCAAGCGATCATGTAATATTCTGTTTATCATATAATTAGATATGAAAGCAAATTATGTCGTAAAATACCTTTTTTCTTACTTTCACTATATAGAGAAACCTCGAATGTGTTATTTTCACTAGTGAAAATATCAATTTTACGTAATGGAGAAATATAGGTATTTCATAGATAATTATATGATAAATAGTATTAAATATAAAAATTTGCTGAGGTGAATTTTTTATGAGAAGTCTATTTTCTCAAAGATGCTCTAGACAGCGAAAGCTCGGATTCAGTTACCAACTACCTACACAAAAAAGCCAAAGCTTCATTAGATGCAATTCTATTTCCTCAATGCAAGACTTCTTACTATTGTAGAAGTTCATAAGCTGTTTGACAAGTATTACCGTTCCTTTCAATCTTTCCACAGAATGTACCCCAAAACTCAACTGTAGGAGTAGATCCTTTCTTATTATCAGTCTGTGAGTACATATCTTGTTCCGTACGAGAAAACTAAGAAATTTTAACTAATTCAGTATATTACGCATATTAGCTAGCTTAATCTTGAAGGGACATGGTCCACCAGCATCCCTTTCGAGCTTTTGCTCTTGTTTGAAAATAAAAATATATCGTAATCTAATCAAAAACTTACTCTTTATTATCCCTTTATACCATATAAATGTAGACACTGTGAGATTCGAAATTTAAACCGATGGAAACGGATTGCGAAAGATTTTTCATGTATGAAAATGTGGTGACCTCGATTATCCATTCGGAATGGATAATCGAGGTCACCACATTTTCATACATGAAAAATCTAAAACACGACCGCATTGATTGCTGGTGGAAAATGACCCTTTAAACAATTCTTTTAACTTTTAACCTAAGGTCCAAATTGTACTTTTCCTTCGAATAATATAAGGATTTGAAAATTCGCAAAGAATCAGAGTAGTTAATTGCAAGAAAGCGAAAATGCACCATATGAACTGAACTACCACATTTTCCAAGCATAACGTACGTATAGTCTCCTTCACGGATACCTGCGCCATCTTGAAAAGTAGCCATGCCTTTACATCGAAGCGAGACAACCGTTGAGCGTGCAATGATAGATACCTGTGAATAATTGTCTGTAGGTGTGAAAGAAGGTTTCTATCATTGCACGCTCAACGGTCGTATCGCTTCGATGCAAAGGCACGGCTACATTTCAAGATGGCGCAGGTAACCGTGAAGGAGACTATTCGGGTTTTAAATATGATATTTTTTCTTATTATTTTGTAACTACCTACAGGTGATTGGGACAGACTAGCTGCCGTAAGTACTATTAGTCTTACTCGTTGTTCGTATTACTAACTCTTCGTATTTACAATAGAGTCATTTTCATCCGTCTGTGAAACCATTACTACTAGTCAGTGTTTAATAGTAACTATTAGGGTGTATTAGGCTACCAAAAGGCAAAATCAAAACCGTGTTTGCCTAATTAGTTTGTCGCATGTCATAAACTATTGGGTGCTAATAGGGGGTAATAGTATTTAATAGTACAGTTCCTATTTCACAGACGGATGAAAATGACTCTATATAGTGGCCCTTAGAGGGTGCCTCTAGCCTCTTGTGACGTCCCTTTAGAAGCCAATAAATTAGAAAAAGAAACAGGAAGTCAAAAACTTGATGCTCTGCATGAAGAATCTTTTTAGATTCAGCTTAATTATTCAAAAACATAGGCTTCTTTCTTCAACATGACAGCTTTGTGATTAAAACTGACGACATCATACTGATTCCAGAATGGGTATTTTGGAAATTTGGTACGTAATATATAAAATATGAGCGGGAGACCTTTATGGGCACATAAAACTGCGAGCTGCAAGGCCATAAAGGTCGGACACGATTATTTTATATTGTTTATGAAATTCCAACATAAGCTAAAGCATATTTTCAAAAAAAAATTAAAGATAAAATATCATGTGTAAGAGAAAATATCAAAGTTCTAAATTGTATGCAAATAAGGACAAATCTCTTGCTCATAGTGTACAAACATTAAAACTGTGCAAAATAAATACCACTAAATAGTGCTAAATTATGCTAATTGTATTGTTTTCTATTGTTTAATTAACACTATTTTGTAGTAAATAGTGGAAAGTATTGCATACATCTAATGTTTGTACTCTATAGTAAAGATGCGGTCACGGCAATAATTTTTCATTGTGTTAACCTTATGAATTATTAATGATTTGATAAGTGAAAAACTGCCCCTACCCCTTCCCCTGACGAGTCCTGAATACACAAATAGTTATAATTTTGTTCCTTTTATTCATTCACCATAATATGTTCTAAACACAATCGCTTGTTTTTTGGCAGAAACTAAAACTAGATGGCATTACATTAGTACCAGTAAGACAAAACCTTGTAGATAGAATATGGACCACAAGGCCAATCGGTGGAACCGACAAAGTATATGTATTGGGATTTGAGTTTACAGGTAAGATATAGAGGATATTACATGGGCGCGCGGAGATACGGATTTTATCTTCGAGTGTTGAGATTTTCAACACGARAAGATAAAATTCGTATCTCAAAGCGACCGTGTAATATTCTGTTTATCATATAAWTAAATATGAAAGCAAATTATGTCGGAAAATATCTTTTTTCTTACTTMCACTATATAGAGAAACCTCGAATGTGTTGTATTTTCACTAGTGAACACTAGTGAAAATATCAATTTTACGTAATGGAGAAATATAGGTATTCAGTTGCATAGATAGTTATATGATAAAAGAATGTCTGGGACGTATCTCGATCTCTACCGTGATTTTCAATGCATTGTGGGATCAGTTTCTGAAGAAAACAAAAGAAATCCGACATGTTTTGTACCAAAAATCACTGGAAAAAGTGATCAATTTCCATATTATGTAAAAAATATCATGGAATTCTCGACTTACATGAATTTTACACATTATATATAAATTTATTAATTAACATACATCTTGGAAAAATCATGTAAATTACGAAATCCTTTTGTAAATGGGGAGCAATCGTGTAAATCTAGATTTAAGGCATCTTTACATGATATTTACATACTATTGATCACGTTTTCCAGTGACATTTCCTACAATGCATTTGCGTTTACGGTACATGAATTAAAAGCTTCAGAGCTATATTAATTATATATTTTTGCGACAGGAAAAACATGGATAGACAAAGTAGATGATGTCCGTTGGGAATTGAGTCGGAAAAACAGGACAGCTGTAGTTTTGCAGGCACTTGATGAAATAGCATGTAAGTCTTAAGCATAATGGTGTGCTTTATATGAACTGCCCGGAATCGTGTTTTAAGCTATTAAAATAGCTTCAAAGGAAATTAAGACAACATTGAGAACGTTACGAAAAAAATAATGATTGTATGAATCTAGACTTTTAAAGGTGCTATAGTCTACTGATGTCCCTTTCTCGGCAGTTTTGATCATTATTGAAAATACATCTTTAATTAACTTCTTATTATGCCTTCATACTCTATTAATGAAGATGTTGTAACATTCGACCTTAAGGACGTTCGAGGGCATTGCTACTGCGCACGCTTTCTGCGCACGCTCAAACCGGAAGTTGTCACGAAATTGCATCACGCAAAACAAAGATGGCGACCGCTCTTGTTATGTGTTTATGAGGTCTTGTACGTACTTTTCTGAACTTCTACTTGAATGAAAAAT